CAAATTTCTTTAAATGGTGTATTGGTAACTCAATATAACCCCAAAGTGGCCATAATTCATTCTTGATTTAGTCATCAGACAATGGCTCTGCTGAATTAAAATCACTGGGAATTAAGAGTTTGCAAAGCAAGGGCCAAGAGGTCCATTGATTTGCATGTAATACATGAAATTATTACTTTGGTGCTGCTACTAAGAGAGTAGGCGGCAAGGCCAGAAAATCGAGGCCTCTGATGAATGTGCTCAGCAGAAAGCTTTGAGAAGTCTGGAGGATCAATATGGTAGTTTGTCAAAGCTGATCTCAGAGGTAATGTGACGAAGGATCCTGCAGAATAGAGCCAGAGTCAGCAAAGTACATTATCAGAAATCAAAGCATCTGCGAATGACGGCGGGAGGGAGAGTTACAGAGGGCCCAGAACGAAGGCCATGCTTCCTCTATTGTAATTAAAAACCATTTTATCAGACCTGTCCTCCAAACAATCCCTCTTGCTTCCTATTGACCTTATGCCAGGCAGGACGTGAGGCTCTAATTTGACTTTAAATAAATGAGCTGAAGGTATTTAAAATTCTGCATTAGCTTTAGGGAGGAAAACAAGTGGGAAAAACAAGGGGCTGCATATAGCTTGTAAACTTGAGAAGCACAATAATGCCTAATAATCACCATGATAATCTGCATGATGTTTGGCGAATTTATTTAACACAGAATTTAAAAAAATTATTTCTTAAAGACGTGGAAATTTCAGTTTCTAAATAAGCATGCATACTTTCATAACATATACCTGCAACAATTATTTGATCTAATCATGATTTTTTGCGGATAGTTTCCAGATCCTTATTCATAACAGTTTCTAAATTGTTATATCGCCACATTAAAAAATACAATTTATAGTAAATACTTTTTTTGAACCATACTGTAAAGTAATTAATCTGTGGTGGTTGTTGCTGTGGTAATACAACTAGTAACAATAAATTACGCATTACTTTTTTAAAGAGATAGTTCACCCAAAATGAAACAAAAATACTCATCATTTACTTACCCTCAAGTGATTCCAAACCTTCATGAGTTTCTTTTCTTGTTGAAAACAAAATAATATATTTTGAATAAAGTTGAATAATTTAATCCATATGAAAAACAAATACTATAAAAGTCAATGGTTACAGATTTCCAACATTTTTCTAAATATCTTCTTTTCTGTTAAACAGAATAAAATGTTGTTTCTTTCTCCTGTTGCAAACAAGTGGATAGTTAGAAAATTGTGACTTTTAAAAAATTATTTTAGGTTGAACTATCCATTTAAGTTTTCTACAACTATACAGTACATGGCGACTCTGTGGCGCAGTGGGTAGCACAATCCCCTCACAGCTAGAAGGCGGCTGGTTCGAGCCCCAACTGGGTCAATTGGCATTTCTGCATGGAGTTTACATGTTCTCTTCGGGTGCTCTGGTTTCCCCAACAGTCCAAAGACATGCAGTACAGGTGAATTGAATAAACTAAAATTGGCTGTAGTGTGTGTGTTTGAATCAGTGAGTACTGAGTTGCAGCTGAAAAGGCATCTGCTGCGTAAAACATTTGCTGGATAAGTTGGCGGTACATTCTGCTGTGATGACCCCTGATAAATAAAAGGACTAAGCAAAAAAGAAAATGAATACATATATGATTATACTAAAAAACACCCGTTTACTGTAGTAAAAATGAAAGTTTACTACCGCATGTATTAGTTTATCAGTTTATTATAGTTAGTGTGCTGTAGCATTCATCAACAAAGTGTTATATTTTTTTAAACACCCTAGTATTGAACTACAAAAATAGTTTTTTTTTTTTTTTTGATGTGAATAGATGGTTTGTAAATTCATAAGACTTGAAAGTAATGAGGTAGGCGAAAGTAATGAACAGGTCAATCTTTACATAAAAATTTTTTTTTTAAACAAGTTGGTCAAATTTAAAATCAGTTTATTATTATTTTTTTTTAAATATGAAGCTTCTCTTACAAATGAACCAAAAGATTGCCAAATAATCAGGGGCAGATCTAGTGATTTGGGGGCCCTAAGCATTTCCAGCCAAGGGGTCCAAAAGTTCTAAAACACACTTTTTGCATTTAATTATTATTATTTTGGTGTTTTTTTCTTATAGCATTTGATCTCATTTTCTACATTTAATCTAAATGCAAAATAATAATAACATGTAAAGCACCTTGGAAAACTTTTGAAATGATTAGTTTTCTTAAGTTGAATTCACAACTAAACATAATAAATGAACTGTTTTGTTTTTAAAACTAAATCTTTAATGATTAGACTGCTGGACCGCTCTATGTTTGAAGGTGGGGGACACATTTATGCAGATATAATAATTCCATTTAAATCTAAATTTTTAGACCCTCAACGTACACAATATGATAGAAAATGATGTTATATATAATTTAATTTATCATTTATACTTCTAGGTATTTATTTGGGGCCCTCAGAGTTTCTGGGACCCTAAGCGGAAACTGACCTAGCTTATTGGTTAAATCCGCCCCTGCTAATAATGCTGATAATGATATCATATTTTCAACAAATTCATTAACTTCAAAACATAAGAAAATAAATAAAACTGGGGGAAATGTCCAATTCAGGCCTCTCACAGTCATTGATAAATCATCTGTTTGGTTCTTTGATCTAACTAAATATTTGAGATTACTGTAAAAATTGTGCGTTGCAAATTTCAAGAGGAATTCTCTATTTTTGAATCTGTAGATCTGAATGTTGCCTTTTACAAATGGATAAACATAGTTTTGTGTTAAATAGAAGAGGAAACCATAAAGTTCAGAATTAATTAATTTATTTATTTTGCCTATTCACAAAAGTTTTTTTTTTTTTTTTTTGCCTGTCAACTACTGTCTCTCAAACCCAGGTCCTTTCTCTGATTACTGTGTTTCACATATTAAAACTGAGCACCCTCCGCCTCCTTGTAAGCAAAGTAAACAGTAACAGGTCCTGCAGAGGTCTGAACCGTCTCTGTCACGCCAACCACCATCCATGAGCCCAATCCATACGCCAAGCATGGAATACCTTAAAAAAGAGAGAGAAAATCATAATACAAATACATCTGCTGTACTGTCAGAAACAGAAGGTCTCTAAACAATATCCGAACTGACCTAAATTGATGACTTTCAGAGCTCCGAAAAACGTATTCTCAAACTGCAGGTTCTGTGGAGGTGCTTTGGTGCAGTGGTATTTGATGAAGGGGAAAGCCCCAGTCCTGAGGATGTGGTAGTTCGTGCCCTGCACCTGCCAGTTGAAGTTGGACAGGCCGAACTGGTCGTTGATGACGTCACGGTAGCGCACGCAGAATGATGTCCAGGGCGGGAGCGCGCGCTGCGTCAGGTGGCAGGTCAACACTTCAGAAGCTGAGGGACGAACAGCTTTATTTCGAAATGTACTGGGGAACAGGGCCACTTTTAGAAAGCAGCCGTGGACCCTGCGAAGAATATCTGTCATTTCCGAGTAACGTTACGTTAAACTGCAGGTTTCAAATGTATGTAAAGCGTTTCAAGAGTAACGTTAAGGGTTGGTCACGTCATTATTTCGCATGCAAACATACATTAAACACTACAAGAGGTAAGCCATGTGAAATAAAGCGCACAAACCTAAACAAACAGAATCCCTGAAATATTTACAAACTGCACATTTATTTACTGCTATTGCATCTCTGCTTTCGCGAAGACGGTCCGGCTGTCAGATGTTACACAACTTACCGGAGCGGATTTTCACACTTACACACGTTTACATTAATTTACTACTTTGTTGTTTCTACGAACGAGACAAATAATGCGCTACTTGTACCCAAGAAATATAAGAGACGAGCCGCATAACCTTCCCTGGTACGGTTAATATATTCTCCGGGAGGAAACAAGGAAGACTTTTCGTTTGTTCCCATCTACATACAGTACTGCAGCATGTAGGCTACGGTAGTATGGATCTTCATTCTCATGCAATCCTGCATACACTTTCCAGAAATTTAATTGCATATAAAATAAGATAATATATTGATAAATATCAGGATATACTAATTGTTTACTGATAGTGAGTATATGTTGGTCAATCTACATTTAAATAGTTTTCAAAGCTAGTGCACCCCAAAACTGCACATTTACAGTACAATTTCTTATATATTTATCAAATACAAAATGAGTTTCACTTGATCATTTAAGGTTTTCTGTTCATTATAATTAACAAATCTGTAATTTAATGAGTGAATACCAATGTGCACTAAAATGTAGTAAATACCTATTTTAAAACAGATTGTTTGAGTGGTTATAATTTCCATAGGCATTTAAATAAGAGTGTTTTTATGGTAACATCCAAGAAGAAACCCAAGAACAGATAAATTCACAGAAACTTTACCAAAAAAGTAAACATTTATTTATGGTTTTCCTAAAATAACAGATAAATCCACAAACAACGTAAACTTTTATTTATATCCATGTAATTTGAATTAACAAACATGATTGATCCAATGTGTGAAAATCAATGTACATTTTTTTAAAAGTATTAAACTGAAGATTTTTGATTGTTTACTATTTAAGGTTGCATTTAAAGAAGAATTGAAGTATAATGCCTAAAGTTTGTGTTTGTGTGTGTTTGTGTATTTGTGCAGTAGGGCTGCACAATATATAGTTTCAGCATCGATATCACAATATGATCATCTGCAGTAGTAAGGTAAATGCAACGTTAAGTTTGTATTATAATTTATCATTTGCATGTGTTTTTGATGCCTGTGATTGTATAATGGTTTTAAAAGCAGTAATAAGAAATTGTACAATTTTTTACTTTAACTACGATTAATCTAATTTAATTATTTATTCGAATTCAGTTACTGTACTTGAATACTGTTAAACTGGGGAAATACTTTCATTCAATTGTATCTTTTTCTTGATTGTATTTATAAATTGTTATGCATGAAAATACTCACAACATGTCCAAATACAGAAATGCACTGCAAATAGCACAGAACAAAATGAAAATGTGCTGGGGCCCCCAAAAGCCTATAGATTGTTTATTAAATTGTATGGAGATGCAAACAGTAAACATTAATTTAGCAATCTCTGACTAAACATGTGCATGAAAATACTCACAACACATTCGAATACAGAAATGCACTGCTAATAGTACAGACAACAAAGAAAATGTGTCGGGGGACCCTAAAAATGTTAAAGATTGTTTTTTAGATTTTATAGAGATGCACTCCCACTGCATAATCTTGCCTATCCGTCTAACATTATAAATTCTTTTCAAACAGAGATATTAAGTCATCTGGTGAAATTGTAGTCGCACAGTAACGCAATCGCAATGTTAAATGTTTCCAATATTGTGCAATCTGTAATTTTAATTTCCTCAAGAAATGTGTTGTTTTGTGTTTTGATGTTCATTAACACATAAATAAAGTTGATTTTTAAACTGTGATAACTTTTTCATGTACTGCTGGAAAACACATGCATCTTATGTTGTCTTAGTTTAGCAAAATCATCTGCTGAATTCATATGCATGTATAATTATGATTAAAGTTGCACAGTCATTTTATTGAATCAGGCCCGGCGCCAGGATGTTATAACTGAGGGGGCATTTTAATCCCATAGGGGGGCACTAGACCTGGTGAATGATTTTGGTCCCCCCTTGTTCCTTTCATTTGCGCTATACAGTATATTCATATATCTATTATTACTTTGCATTACTGCCTAAGTTACTGACTTAAGGCAGTAATATAGTTTTTATAGTAATAATAATAATAATAATATGTGCAGTTTCGCTATAATTAATTTTATTAATAAAGGTAATGCAATGATGTTGTTTATTAATGCAGACAGACATGGCATCAGAGCCAAAGGAGTGCTTTAAATTGTATTTTATTCTCCTTTTTTCTTTTGGTTTTCTTCCCAAACAGTTTAAATGTTTAAAGTTTTAGGTAAAAACTTCAAACTTTGACAACACATGCAAGCTAACCCACTATTCGTATAACCAGTAAATAAATAGGGAAAGCTGCATAACCGAGTCATCACGCTTCACGTTGCCTATTGCTCAACTAATCATCTATCAGAGTTAGGAAAAATATAAATGTTACAATCTAATGTCATAAAAAATAAATTAGCTGAATGTGTCACTTACTTACATTAAGGCATTAGTTTAGCCAGAAAAACACAGAAAAATCCCCCTAAATTCACAGATATTAACATGGAAATTAGTTACATTTTAAACGCAAAAGGCATTTTTAAGTGTCCTAACTTGAGACTGCTGCTGCTTAATTATTTTCACACTGTAAAATTGGCTTTAGCAACTTCATAATAAACAAAAACATTCAAAATATTTCTGCGTTTTGTCAATTTTATAGGTTCATATTAATATTAATGAATATAATAATAATAATAGTGTTGATTACTGTGGAAATTTTCAGTTTTAAGTAAACAAATTCTTTCTGAGAGGGCAATGCCCCCTTTTGCCCCTCCCCCTCGTAGCATCGCGCCTGTGTCGAATGTTAATGTACTGTCTTTGACTGCATATTTATATCATCTGTACTCATAAATAACTAAGATTTCCTAAAAGGCAGATGTGACTTAAATGTAATTATCCAAGGTCTTATTGTTCATCTTCATAGAGCGGGAAGAGGCACAATAGATTTAGATCACTATAGTTTGGCCTAAAAAAAGGCCATGGACAAATCAATGTGCAAGTGTGTTTCTCCTTTTAATTTTACTACATGTTAACCACATTTCCGCTTTAACTGAGTTTTATGTCTATATTATATTTAAAGGCTTGGTGAAAGCAATTATAACTCAAGGTGTAAACGCTATTGTAGGATTGGCTTTGTACATTGACTCATTTTGTGTTGATGTAGTTTATGAGTTGATAACCAATCGCTTCCGACTCCAGTAATCTCCTTTTCTTCTTGAGATGCGGTTTGATTTTGTATGGTCATGCCCAAGACCTCTTCAATGTCCTTGATAAGCTCCTTATAAAAGCAAACAATAGCAGGCATTCAGTGTATGTCTGACTACACATCCCAAACTTGTAACTATTAAACGGTGAATAAGAATTCCTCTATCAAATCAAGTAATGATGTGTGTTGAATGGAGCAGTTCAGCGAGTCATTGAATCTCCAGTACACTCACAGTGTATGACAATACCCACACGACTTCAACTGCAGTTAATGTGGCCAGACATAAAGCCTTGAATTTAATAACTGACTACCTTGTGTATTGTAAAGGTTTTATTACGACACATTTTCTGAAAATGGGTGCTCAAGCAAAATATGTCCAAATTCACTTGGTGTAATGCGAGGAATTATAAACGTGATAAAAATATAAACATAGTTATTATTCTGACAATAATAATTGATTTGGAGTACCATGTTTAGACAAGATTGTGATAAACAATTGCATGTGAACTGGAAGTGAACCCATGTTTGAGTACACATATATGGGTACAGCATGTATTGTCAAAGGTTACATGCTGCCGATTGTTGTGTCAAAATTCAATTTGACTTGGATAATGAAAAATGCCCACATTAAATAGAACAGCCTTGAAGACTGTGAAGCATGAAGTTGATTATTATGATTAGCATTACATTGAGGTTTTGGAGCAACTCCTTTTCTGAGTAAATGGTACATACTGCTGTGTTGTGGATATACAGTGGGTGAGGAAAGTATTCAGACCCCCTAACATTTTTCATTCTTTGTTATATTGCAGCCATGTGCTAAAATTATTTATATATTCTAATAATATATATATATATATGAATATTTTATATTCATATTTTTCTCAATGTATACACAGCATCCCATATTGACCCATATTAAAACACAGAATTGTTGACATTTTTACAGATTTATTAAAAAGAAAAACTGAAATATCACATGGTCGTAAGTATTCAGTGACGCCCGTGTATTTAACTCAGGTGCTGTCCATTTCTTCTGATTATCATTAAGATTGTTCTACACCTTCATTTGAGTCCAGCTGTGTTTGATTATACTGATTGGGCTTGATTAGGAAAGCCACACGCCTGTCTATATAAGACCTTACAGCTCACAATGCATGTCAGAGCAAATGAGAATCATGAGGTCAAAGGAACTGCACGAAGAGCTCAGAGACAGAATTGTGGCAAGGCACAGATCAGGCCAAGGTTACACAAAAACAATTCTGCTGCTCTTAAGGTTCCTAAGAGCACAGTGGCTTCCATAACCTTTAAATGGAAGGCATTTGGGACGACCACAACCCTTCCAAACTGAATTACTGAGGGAGAAAAGCCTTGTGAGAGAGCGAAAGGAGAACCCAAAGATCACTATGGCTGAGCTCCAGAGATGTAGTCAGGAGATGGGGAAAAATTGTAGAAAGTCAACCATCACTGCAGCCCTCCACCAGAGTGGCCCAACACATGAAAGCCCTCATGGTTTACCAAAAAACACATGAAGGACCACAAGATGGTGTGAAATAAGATTCTCTGGTATTATGAGGCCAAGATAGAATGTTTTGGCCTTTAATCCAAGTGGTGTGTGTGGAGAGAAACAGGCACTGCTTATCACCTGTCCAATACAGTCTCAACAGTGAAGCATGGGGGAAGCATGCAGACAAGTACAAGGATATCCCGGATGAAAATCTTCTCCAGAGTGCTCAGGACTTCAGTGTCACGGTTGTGGATCTATCTGCTCTTCTATGATGTGTCTGCGTGGTGCGATTGTTTATTTGTGTTTGCGGTGTGTGTGTGCGATTGTCTCTGTGTTTGTGTGAGAGTCGCGTGGCTGTCAGTGTTGTTGTTGTTTTCATGTCATCAGCTGGGCGGTCACATGATCATGGTCATCGGTCGCCTAGCACTGCTCAGCTGATTATTGCGCTCCAGGTGTAGCGCATTACTGTGGCAATAAATGTTCAGCGTTCCTGTCTCACCTTGTCAGTTCGTTGTCCTCACTTGTCTCTGTGTCTTTGTCAGGCTCTCCCCATTAAGTTCGCTGGTTATTGTGCTGGTTGAAGTTTCTCCTCCGATGAACTTTTGATTCGCTCTGTTGACGGAGATTGGAGTTCTCCCTGATGAACTTTTGATACGCTCTGTTGACGGAGATTGAGGTTCTTCCTGATGAACTTTTGATTCACTCTGTTGACGGAGATTATTGCTACTTATGACCTTTGACTTCCAGCCACCCAGTCTCTCTTTGTTATTTTGTGTATCAATAAACTGTCACTTGCACTTGGGTCCCTTCGTCTTCATTGAAGTGTGACATTCAGATTGGGCTGAAAGATTAACTTCCAACAAGACAATAATCCTAAGCACAAAGCTAAAATAACGTGCTAAAAAGTGGCTTCACAACTTTGTGTCTGTTCTTGAATGGCCCAGCCAGAGCCCAGACTTAAACCCAATTGACCATGTCTGGAGAGACCTAAAAACGGCTGACCACCAACATTTACCATCCAAACTGACAGAACTGGAGAGGATCTGCAAGGAGGAATAGCAGAGGACCCCCAAATCCAGGTGTGCAAAACTTGTTGCATCTTTCCCAAAGACTCATGGGTGTTAGATCAAAAGGGTGCTTCTACTAAACACTGAGCAAAGGGTCTAAACACTTAGGAACATGTGATATTTCCGTTTTTCTTTTTTAATAGATATGAAAAAAAAATGTCAACAATTCTGTGTTTTTCTGTCAATATGGGGTGCTGTGTGTACATTTAGGTAAAAAAATAACTTAAATGATTTGAGCAAATGGCTGCAATATAACAAAGAGTGAAACATTTATAGGGGGTCTGAATACTTTCCGTACCCACTGCATTTATATTTATTATAGTTATAAAAGATCAGTCTTTGGAGCAGACTTTAACTAGCCTCACTGGATAAGAACAGAAGATGAAATGAATTAAGTACAGTAGGTTGATGGAACGATCATCTTCTGAAGATACTTGCAATATTGACAAATGGTAATGAACTGAACTTAATCAACATAAAACTGACTCAAGCTAGATACAAACTTTGTTGTCCTTTATAGAATTGCTTGTACTTGACTTGAACGCATATCAGGAATTTCACACATTTGATTTAACAAGGTATATCAAAGCAGAATCTGATTTGTTTGCATAATTTTCTTAATGATACGAGTTTGACAAAGCCATGTACTGCAAATTAATTTAAGCTTCTTGTTTTTCTTTCTTATGACTACAACTTTTAAAATATAGGTGTAGTAGTAGTAGTAGCAGTACCTCAGTGTCAAGCTTTGTTATCATACTTTATTTCTACATTTGATTCAGCTATTTTTCAGTTTTTCTCTGTGAAGCTGTATTTATGCAATCAATTGTATTTATACAGTATGTGACCCTGAACCAAAAAACCTGGTTTACATGGTCATAGATGCACATATTCTGAAAGTTGCATAAATAAGCAAAATGATGACACTAATGTAAGGTTTGATAGGATATGACAATATTTGGTTTGTTATACAATATTTGGAACTGTTTGAAAAATACTAAGAAATTCTCCTTTAAAGTTATCCAAATTGAGTTCTTAGTCATGCATAATAATATTCAAAAACTGAATTTTAATATATTTACAGTAGGAAATTTACAAAATGTCTTCATGGATTGTATTTTTATTTATTTAATATTTTAATGATTTTTGGCATGAAAGAAAAATCTATAATTTTGGCCAATAAAATGTATTTTTTGATATTGCCAAAAATATACTTGTGCAACATAAGACTGATTTGTGATCCATGGTCACAGTCACAAAGGTGACTGCACTTGTAAAAAACTAATTTATATATATTTATTTTATAATTATCTTTTAATAGCCAAACATCCACTGAATTAAACTGCTGTAAAAATGCATCAGATAAATATTTTTTCAGTCCTGATCAAAACCACTAAATGTTTTTAAAAGTTACAGGATTTTAACTCTTTAATTGCCAAGTTAACAAATTATGTCACAGATTTGGTGAAAGAACACACAAAATTAATTTTTTTTAATATAAAAATAAATTGTAGACTAGATTGTTTTGACTTTTTATCACAGTTTTTGACATGTGAATGATTAGTAACAACATTAGCTTTGATTCGTTGTTAGATTTTCATTTTTTTCTCCCTAATTTACTGTCGGTGGCTGTTTTTGCCCCATTGACTTACATTATAACCACATTTAATGGTGCATAAATACAGTTTTTGTTTTACTCTTTGTAGTTCTGAGAACTGAGATGCATATTTTGATTTTTTCAGACACATCAAGGTAAGTGTGCAAAGGTCGCTCTCACACACATACACACACTTTATTTTGCTGTTTTAAAATGTAATCGATCAAAAACAATTCATCAAAAGCAATGTTGTTTTACATGTCTAAGACTTTGATAAAAGATTTTTAAAAATCCAGTCCACAACTACTTTTTATATTGAAAATGCATCATTTTGTGTGTTTCATCCCTAACATAACAAACGTGTAGTAAATTTGCCCAGAGTGTATCACTAGTTTTTTTTTTTTCTTTAAATCATTTTCTCAAAATATTTCAAAATAAGATTCGTCATCCAAAATAATTCTGCTAGCTGAAAAATGTATGTCCAAATTAAGACTCAAAACCCCTAACAGTACATAAGGCTTAATAAAATCAAGTTTTGTTTTATAAGCAATTTTTCCAGTGCGTTGACATTGATACCCCTGATGTACACTATTGATTTAAACTGAATCAACACTAAACTGACTCATTCTGAACAATGATACTATTGTACTTAAGAGCATTGTTTCCTGTTTAGATACTACTTTGACAATCTTTGAAAAAGTAGCTTAAGAAAACACCCACATACCTTAAAATTGCTTGCCCCCTGCATATTTGGAGCTGATATTTCCTGATGAATGATTGACAGGTTTCGAGCAAAGGTCAGCAACGCTCCCTGGAGATTCTCCGAGATTGTTCTGTTAACGACACGGAGAAACAAACGAGCTTACTAATGATCCCCCAGAACCATCATCAGAGAAAAACAAAAAAACAATCACCTTGTTTGGCTGTGGGGCTGTAAGGAGCTTAATGAGAACTCTCAGCCTTAAAGAGTGTGCTATTCTTCAGGGAGAAATGAGGAGGGAAAGCAGGGCTTGGATGGGACAGGTATAGGATTTATGTGATGAATGCCTTTAATTCGACTTGGCAGTATGTTTTGCACTGACACATTTCGGTTAAGGTATTCGCTACATAATGTTTAATCTGCTCTTTGGGAGTTTGCTCAAGGTCTAGATATAGCTCTAATGGAAATGGGGACGCAGAAAGGAAAAACAGAGCTGGAGAAAGATAAGGGTAATGCATCTGCTTTGTTTATTGTGGGAACTCACAGCATGCCGAGACTTCTTCTGTATCTGCTGTCATGGAGGGCAAACACAGTGCCTTGCCTTGCCTGAAACATAAAAAAGAAAACACTTATTCTGGAATCAAAGAACTTGGGTTATATTACTGGGAAGCAAGCAAAGGTTTACCTTGACATCATAGCCTATGCCCTGCGCTTTGCACATCAGGAAAAACGTGCTATAGTATACTAAAGGCAGATTGGTGTGAAGAAGCCGGGTGCACATCACTGCAAATCGACTGGTCACTGAGGTTTCCTGAGGAGAGCATATAAACACAGAGTCAAAAGGGTGTTATTTCAGAATTTTCACATACTTCTCATCAATGTATGAGCAACTGACTAACAAAAAACAAAAAACAAGACAGACTTTTAGACGCATTCATTCATTTTCCTTCTACTTAGTTCTTTTATTTATCAGTGGTCAAACCACCAACTTATCCAGCATATGTTTTACACAGAGGATGGCCTTCCAGCTGCATCCCAGTACTGGGAAACACCCATACACTCTCACATACACATCCATACACTATGGTCAATTTAGTTTATGTTCACCTATACAGCATGTCTTTGTGTCTGTGGGGGAAAGCGGAGCACCTAGAGGAAACCCAAACAAACATGGGTAAAACATGCAAACTCCACACAGAAATGCCAAATGGCCAGCTAGGACTCGAACCAGCAACCTTCTTGGTGTGAGCCACCAAGTCACCCCTTTTAGGTGCAATGTTTTTGTAAAATTTGTAAAAAACAAACTGTTATATTTGTAATTTTTTCATCTGTCGATATTAACAGATAAAAAAAAATAATTCTACATAGTTCAACTATGTTCAACATACCCATATTACTATGATCAGATGCTTTCCTTACTGTTTTCTTAACTGCTGTGATTTTTCTATTTATTTATTTATTATAATTTATAAATGTTTAATAAATCACTTAATTATTACTTCTAAAATGTATTTGTTTTTAAATGGATGCGGCACACATTTACATATACTTTTAAGCATTGCTCTAAGTGTCTAAGTGCATTTAGGATATTTGTTACCAGCATGCTGTATCGTTTCAAAAGGTATCGAAAGGTATTTCCTCACAGCCTCACAGCAAGAAGGTTGCTGGTTCGAGTCACAGCTGAGCCAGTTGGCATTTGTGTGTGGAGTTTGCATGCTCTTCCCATGTTTGTGTGAGTTTCCTTTGGGTGCTCCGGTTTCCCCCACAGTCTGAAGAAATGCGCTATAAGTCAATTAGAGAAACTAAATTGGCCGTAGTGTACAAGTGTGTGTGAATGTGGGAGTGTTGGGGTGTTTCCCAGCATTGGGTTGCGGTTGGAAGGGCATCTGTTCCATAAAAAACATATGCTGGAATAGTTGGCAGTTCATTCTGCTGTGGCGACCACTGATAAATAAGGGACTAAGCTGAAGGAAAAGGAATCAATGAATATTTAAAAAATATATACATATATTTTTGCATCTCTTCAACCAAAAAAAAAACTGTAACCAAAATATAGTATTCAGCTTTGTTCACTAAAAGTGGCACTGATGTAACAGCTAAAATATTAATATAGCTAGAACTCAAATGCTGCTGATTAATGACAGAATCAGAATTTTTCTCCAAGATGGATTCCATGCTGACCAATAGGAGCATAGAATCTCTTCCACACAGAATTTTCAGACATGGTGTAAATGTCTTTTCAGTGACATCGAGCAACTTGTTATAAGCAAGGCAAGCAGTTGCTTAGGGCCCCAGGAAACCCGAGGGCCCCCAAATAAATAGCTAAAAGTATAAACTATACCTATAACTAACTATATAACTATATATACCTATAATGATACCAATGAACCGCCAACTGCCCTTCCAGATGCAACCCATCTCTGGGGAACATCTGTACACCCTCATTCACACTCATACACTATGGACAATTTAGCCTACCCATGCAATTCACCTGTACCTATTCATGCACCTGTTTGGACTATGGGGGAAAACAGAGCACCCGCAGGAAACCCACGTGAACGCTGGGAGAACATGCAAACTCCACACAAAAATGCCAACTGACCCAGCCGAGGCTCAAACCAGCAACTTTCTTGCTGTGAGGTGACAGCACTATCTACTGAGCCACTGTGTTGCTGACACAAGAATTAAGCTGTCAAAATCATATAATCTTTCACAGTGACTATTGTTACAGTCAAAACCCTGTGTAGAACCGGCCTTATGACTTTTTGTGAAACTGCATTGAAATTATGTATACTGTCTGTAACATTCATTAATTTTACTTCGGCTTAGTCCCTTATTTATCAGGGGTCGCCACAGTGGAATGAACCGCCAACTATGTCCAGCCACAACCCAGTACTGGGTATATATATATATATGCTTAAAATCATATTTAATATCTAATGCAATATTATTTTTAACATTTTATAATGAACTTAGTACTTTAAAAGCATAAACAATTCCATTTATAATACTATAGAGTTCAATGCTGAATACACTAGTCGAGCTGCACTTGTCTTTGCCTTGATATGCTTGATATGCTTAAGTGACAGTATTTGCATTTTAAAAGTATGATTCATTTACAACATTTAATTTCAGTTGCTTTTTTTGTAGCTCAGCAATAAAACAAAAAATAAACAAAAGATTATGTTGAATTCAAAATTCAGAATGACGATTTCTGTCAAAGGTATTCGCCCCAACCGCCAACATTCTCCCTCTCTTTTCACATAGGATGGCGGGCCAAATTAAAGGTTATCATTGGCCAACTTTTCAATATAAAACATAATATAATAATACAAAATACCTACGTTGACAACTGCTCGGTCTCTAATTTAATTCTGTATCATGGCATTGAAATGCATTTCATTTTTTTTATGTTACAAGGACAAAAGTTTGAGCACAAGAAATGAGTTGCTGGCTGCAGTTCACTTAGAAGCAGCCACCAGTGTCACTAACAACAAGCGTTTCTGAAGTCTACATACAGCCCCGTTTAACAACAAATTGCATTTAATTCTGTTGCTAAAAATTTGACCAGTACATCTAAATGATGAACTGAGCTCTCGGGAACAACAAGAACAGCCATTCCAGAAACAAATAGAAGGCTTTCAAAAGTCCACATGGAAAAAGGGGCATTAGTCTCACATTCATATGGGACACCAGGGACACAAAGTCCTGCATTATTAGGTTACACCACTACGGAAAACAGGATGGTTTCCTCAAAAAACCCAGCAATGCTCATGGCAGATAAAAGATGTGTCTAAAAGAACACCACAGGAGTGGATTAGTTAAGAGTGGCAGGACTCGCAGGACTCGTAGCGGGTATGAGGTATATTCTCAGTGACAGATATGAAATGCAGGGTAAAGCCCTCGCATGGTGTGCAGGGCATGAGTAATTCTCTTCTATACAATTCTGTTTTCTGCTGTCAGACACACCATCCTCAAACAACAATAAAAAGCTTTTCCTGCAGGCTTTTAATTGTGTTTGTAATATTCCAGGCCTAAATGATGGCCAAAGCCGGAGCCATTAAGACAGGCAGGCGGGAGCCAGGCGACACAGGCACATACAAACTAAATGAATGTTTGATAAAATAATACAAGTCGCAGATTAACAAGCGTAAACTCTGGTTTGCCGCTAATAAAGGAAGTCTATTGTTTGGGGGCTGGCATCAGGTTGATGAGGTGCTCAGGCATGCATACACATGCATAATGAATATGGTATGCATTATTTATGGGCTGATTATTTAGGCTCATCTATCAAAATGATAATGAATTCAGCTTCTTCTAAACACCAATCAGGTCGGAAGCGTAATTACAGCGTTTAGTTGTATTTAACCAAAATAAAACAACAAAGCTTAGCTGGATCAATCTTTATGGATGCCTTGATTTATCGGGATAATATCCAGCAGAGGACACTTATTGCTCTCAAGTCCAGTCTCAGGGAACACATTGGGGATAATGGTATTTCTGTGCTTTAAAGAGCTGAGAGCATCTCAAGCAGTTCCGAGCGTTAACCTTTAATGAGATAGTTAAGCTAAAAATTAAAATTATGTCATCCTTGTGACTTGTATGACTTTCTATTATGGCTTAAGACAATCTACTGTAAGATACATCTAATAAGTTTAATATACTACTTTTATCAAGGTTTCATGATTCTTTTTTGACAAGCCCCTGGTCCTTTTTATTGTATTCTCCATCCAGAGAACAGAAAGTCAGGAAGAATGATCAGCTTACATCTACAACCGTAATTGCTCAAGTCACCGCAGATCAGTCTACAGGAAATTCAAGACAGCAAACAGTCCAAATCCATTTGTCCTTTGTGAGCATGAGTGCTTAAAGTACATTAGATTATTAGTACATCAGATGTACTGTAATGTGTTACACAGACATAATTACTGTTTTTAATGAGTTTTACTGTTTTAAATTTGGTCACATTGGGCTTGCCAAATGCAGGCAACGCGCAAAGTACAGTTTGCTTTTGTATGCACTGCCAGATTTTTGTAATCAGACATGTGCTTTGAATTATTTTTGCACTTCATAGTGTGTCCTTGAACTTGAACTCAGCCAGTTTCACAGTTAGAAAAGAAACAGAGAATATGGAATAAGAAAAACAAACTAGTGAAGACAGCAAAACAACAGACCCCCATTTGAGGTTTCCTGAGGAGAGGCAAAAGGGCAAAATTTCAGATTTTTTTACATTTTCTCACCAATGTGTGATCCTTGACAAAATTTTATTTGTAAAATTTATAATCAAACTTTTAAAATTGTACTTTGTTGATCTGTTGACATTATGCCAGTGAATTCCAGAGCTCAACATATCCATGTTACAATGACCATGTTTTCTTAACCACCTTTTTCTCAATTCTGTCATTCGTCTTCTATTTTTAAAACTATTTTATTTACTTATATTTAATAATTTATTACATTTTTCTAATAAATTACTTAAATAATAATCATAATAATTGATATCAACAGACCAGCAAAACCACAGACCACCATTTTGACTAAATGACATCTCAAACATTATAGAGCAAAGCTACGCTTGTCATGCACATCTTGTCAGGGAAGCACAGTTGTGTGATCAGTAGTACATTTTCAAGGGAAAGCTTTTACTACTTACATTGATTCAGTGTGGCTAATGATCACACAACTATGGACATTATCTCACATAAGTATTTATTTAAAACTCTCAACTGATTATGACTGATTAGTGGTATTTTCAAATGGAGCATTTACTACACAGAGCGGTAGTTCACAGAGAGGTGGCACAAACAGCTGTAATTATCACAGAATTATTATCTCGATGTCAATATCGTCAATTTTGAACACAATTTTGTGTAGCTTGTCAGTAAACTATGACTCTGTGTTATAAATGTGGCTCCTTTCAGCACATGCTGGAGTTTTACTAGAATCAGCTTTACTGACGAAATGCACATGAAATTTTCCTTCAATTACTCATCCAACCATGCTATAAAGCAATTTTAGTGATCCTAACTTATGAAGAGAGAAAGTACAGACAGTGGACAAGGATGAATCAGTGCCTATATGTAGAGGTGAAGTGCCTATATTTGTGCATGGTTTTAAGTGGAGTATACTATGAAAGGCTGTGCATTTCATTATATGTAAGCAACTGTATATGAATAAAAAAAAAAAAATACATCAGGTATAAAATGCGAGGAAACGTTGTTCAAGTCCTTTTTTTCTCAGCTGTCCAATCATAATAGCAGGAGTGGGGAAAATTCTACACTGACTAATTGTAAAAACATTTTTGTATAACACCTTTAGGTGACTACAATTGAGGTCCCAACTGAGAAAATGAAAATAAATACATTTTAAATTTATGAATTCTTACAGATTTGGGTTGCCTTCTAGTATGGTGTACAGATGACTTCTTTACAGAGATTTCTCTCACTGAAGGAGGAACCTCCAGTTTACTGGTGCGGCAGTTCAGCGTCCCCCTCGTCATCATGAGCATCAGCTGGGTCATGGCCAACTGGTTACTGTAGCCCAGGTCAAGATCAATAGCCCAAACCTAAAAACATACAAACCAGCACATACAAACAAGGGTCAGGAGATCCAACACATAATTAAAGGGATATTTCAATTACTCAGCCTCCACCTATTCCAAACATATTGAAGTTTCTTTTTTCTGTTCAATACAAAGTAGAATTTAAATTTATTAATTTTTCCAATATTTTTCAATATATATATATATATATATATATTTTGTGTTCAATGTAAACAAGAAACCCTTGAAAGTTTTGAGTAAATGGTAAGTAAAATGTTAAATTTAGCCAAAGTATCCACCTATTTTCATTGAAAAGTAACATTTAAAACACTCAAAAGAATCCAACAGATTTATAAAATATACAGTTGCAGGAAAAAAGCTCACAGTCAGATCCAGACATTGTGCGTGAGAGAGAGAGAGAGAGAGAGAGAGAGAGAGAGAGAGAGAGAGAGAGAGAGAGAGAGAGAGAGAGAAAGAGAGAGACAGAGAGAGAGTTGCACACTGTGTCTAAAGCCCAACTGGAGACTCTCTTCACATCTGTATGGTTAATGGCATCATTATAAGGATATTAAGGGGTCAGGCCCAGTCATGGCCTTATGCTTAAACAGGGCTAATTTTCCCTGATAATAATCTAATAGCTATGCCCTCTCTTCAAAAAGTGGCGAATAAATCACCAGTGAAAGAGTTGTTAATAACTAAGTGGCAGTTGGCTGACTCTCCTGTCGTCCCTATTTGTCAACCTAAACGCTGCTGCCAGCGAATGCAAATGGTGGCCCGGCTGCTCAAATCACTTTCTGATCACAGTATCATGGTTAATGCTCATGCACTGACATACAGTGAACAGAATCATCTTTATAGACCGGTTTTAATTCTACTGCATGCACTAATTAATTACAGTTTATAAAAGCAGAATTCTTGGTAATTAGTAGGCCCACATTGAATCTGCGTGCACAGAAGTCCGCAGATTTTTAGACCACCATTGAGTCTATTTATTTACTTGTGCAAACGTGTGTAAATTTATATTGATTGAGTTATTATTATTGACTAATATAAAAACATTCATATGATTTATTTACAATACAGCTTGCAAAGTAATATTTTCTGTCTTTTAGTAGATTTTTTATATGAGAGACTTGCTTTGTTTACCAAATACGGGGATCTAATTGGATTTGCATTGTAAACATTAAATAAAAGTTAAAAAGGTATTATTTTTTAAATTCATATTTTTATATTTATTCAAGTTTTTAGTTATGATACTCAAAAAATCATTAAGCCAAATATGTCCGCATTAGGTTTCAATGGTTAACATTATTTGAAGGGTTACCATAAAAGATTTATGTTAAATAATGCAATGTTAAAATCAAAATTTCATTTGTTTATATCATTTAATGAACCTGAGCCAATGCTGTTTTTGTATAATTAAGTAAATATTTTAGCTTTATTATTAGTTATGAAGTTTTTTTTAATAGCTTGATTGGTCATTCTTACATTTTAACTTAATCTTTTTTTTTAATCTAGTATTTTTTTTAATCTATAGAGTTAAATTTTTAGTCTTTATTTTAATTCAGTATTGTTTTTGTCGTGAATGCCTTTGACAGAAATCGTCATTCCCAAAGTGTTTTTTCTTTCTTTCTTTTTTTTACTTGTTTTTATTTAGTTTTTAGTTTTATACTTTATAGCCTACAATAATAACTATAATAAGCTTGACCTGCAACATACATTATATCACAATATTTTTGTTTCTGTAAAACTCTTGAAATTCCATTGTGTAGTTCTGTCAATACTACCGGTCAAAAGTTTGGGCTCAATTTTTTTTTCATGTTTTGTTTTAAACAAAAATATTCTGTTCATCAAGGCGCCATTTAGTAAATTTAAAAAGAAAAGAAAAAAAATTTTATTGTTGAAAACTTATTTATTAAATGATTATTAATTACCTATTGTATATTATTGTTTCAAATGAAATTATAACTCCAGTCACTTTGCTTTTATTACTATTACCATTAATAATAATAATAATAATAATAATAATAATAATAATAATAATAATAATAATAATAATAATAATAATAATAATAATAATAAAAAAATAATAGTAATATTAATAATAATAATTAATATTAGAGTGATTTCTAAAGTATCATGTGACTCTGGAAACTGGTAATTCATCAATAAAAACACTGGAAGAAATTATTAAATTAAATTATAAACAAATTTTTAAAATTTAATTTATAGTGCAATTACATTTCACAATTTTTACTATATTTTTGATTAAATAAATGCAGCCTCAGTGAGCAGGAGAAGCTTATTTAAAACATTCAAAAATCCTTTGGACCCCAAACTTTTGACCGGTTGTATATGTATATGTGTTGATTTTTTCAACACATTTTTAAACATAATAGTTTTAATAAATCATTTCTACTTACTGATTGACAGTAAATTATATTTGACTTGATTTTTTTCAAGACACTTCTATACAGCTAACAGTGACATTTAAATGCTTAAGTAGGTTAGGTTAACTAGGCAGGTTAGGGTAATTAGGTAAGTTATTGTATAACAATGGTTTATTTTGTAGACTATCAAAAAATATATAGATTAAAGGGGCTGATAATTTTGATCCTAAAATGGTTTAAATAAAAAAATCTACTTTTATTTTTGCCGAAATAAAACAAATAAGAGTTTCTCCAGAAGAAAAAGTTCTATCAGACATACTGTAAAAATTTCCTTGCTCTGTTAAACATCATTTGGGAAACATTTACAAAAGGAAAGAAATATTGTAAAACACTAACTTATCTTTAAAGCATTCTGTTAAAGGTTGTAATTTAAAAACTATTACAAAGAAAGTAGATTATTATATGTTATATGCCCTTCTATTTGCTTTATTTCCTTCCTCGTGATAGATATTTTAACTAAACATTTTCTTCTCAGTTTTAGTTTGTGAAAGTAATTTATTTAAAATGTGACTTATCCAAATAACAATTTTAATAACTTTGCAACCAAAAAACCTTTGCAATGGGTTCAAGTAAAGCAATGACCTTTAGAAACAGGTCTCAGGAAGATCTGAGTACAGCTCCGAAATCACCTCTCGCTCATAGTTAATACCTGTGCTTGTGGGAAAGGTGGGACCATTTAGCCAGTCTGTAGAATCAGCCAAGCCTGCTTCATTGTCAACCTTAACAAAAGCGCTTGATATATACGCCCAGATTGTACCTGTCTTCTATAGCCCCTTCACTTTCATTAAAAACTGCAATCTTGCAGCTGAGCCTTCCACTGCACACAATGTGAGGCGAGTCTGCAAGGGCAAACACATGCGACCCGCACCCCCCCACACACATACAAAAAATACAGGCTGCTTTTAGCAACAGGTTTGAATGTAAATTGATGTTTAAATAGAGACAGGTTAGCACTAGTCTGGCAGATCCGTCTGGTTCAGTGCCGGGAGAGATGGGACAGTAATGTTTGGATTTATCTGTCTCGATTCCTTTTGTCGCTATTAATTGTGCATGCAGTTTATTCTCAGTAAGACGTGCTGAATAAAAATCCATCCCGTGCCTCTGTCAATTGACAATATGGAGAATCCCGGTGCTATTCAATCAGAAGAATGTATGAATTACTTTCATTTGCGAGAGTAAAAAAGCCATTCTGTCAGGAGACTATATGAGATTCAAGTGTGAAATTTGCTATAGAGAGAGAGAGAAGTACATTCAACCTCAATGAGTAATTTATCTAAAAAAGCTGCGGCTCTCCGGTTTGTAAAGTCAATCATCTATTTTAAAATCACAGCATGCCAACTGAGTTGATGATTAAAACAGCAGTGTGTGATATTTGTTTGAATATATATCTGTTCTATAGCATTTCAGTGTTGGTTTACCATTTTAGAGTGCATATGGAGATGTAAAAGTCAACCACACAGTTCAAATTGGCTTTAGAAATTACTGTGTTTAGTAAATGTCATGAGCCATTTTTCATCTAAAGCTTATAAACAAAGTTTTGTGTCAAACCTTAAAGTCTGTCCATCTCAATGTGAAGAACAACTGAAAGCTCTTTTTATAGTAGTGACAGATGTAGTGAATACAACGCGAGTGTGTTTTGCCACCCTCTAGTGGTAGTGGGAATCGGATGACTACAAGAACAATGACACATTTCAATCTCCAGCCTGCCAGCAAGGATCATTGATAAAAATCACAGAGCTCTAATTAATTATGCATCATGTTGCCTAGTTATATAATCACTTCTTTGCTCACTTATCATTTGCGATGTGTACAACATTTCCACAGGGGATATCAGCATTGCAGGACTTAATAAATAGACCTAAATTTAGAAACACAAGTTTTGAAAAATGACTGAATCAATATCTAACACGGTGAGGTCAGCGAGGTCAAATCCATATCATTTTTTTCCACATTAGACTCCGATTTATTTTAATGTATGCCCTCCCTTTTCCACCAACAGAGATTTTTCAGTTGTCATGTCTTTTGGCAGAGATGCAAAGCAAACTGTGTTGTCTGAAACGCGAGGAATGCTAGTTAGCCTCCTACTGTTAAGGGCGCCTCTGCACTGTAAAAAATCTTTTGAGGTAACCTTAAAAATGATGAAGCTTCATGAGGTCTAAATTAACATCCAAATTAACTATTTACAACCTTACTACATTAGCTTACAAAGTCCAAAGAAAGGGGTAAAAACTTACATAAAATGCACATTGCACTTAAAAAAGGATGCCTAAAATCAACTTAGTGTAGTGTCTACTCAGTGTCATATGCCCTTTTTTCAAACATACTGATGATATAAATCCAAAATCAAACAAAAGGGGCTACAGGCATAGCTAATGTGTCAGTGCTCTTTGAAAAAGGATTCATAAATCCCAAATATCTGAGGTGCTGTTTTTAAAGAATAGCCATTATTACAAATTGTTATATCCAAAAGTATTAATAGTCAAAAAGGGTCATTGAGAGTGTCCAAGTGGCCTTTTTTAAGGAGCGAATAGACAATCCTTTGGATAAACATGCCGAGTACGCACACAACATCAT